CGAATCCAAAAACGGATTTGGCGTTTTTTGGGGCAAATCCAAAAGTGGATCATGAATCCATAAAATCCACACTCTGAGTGGATTCTTCGGATCAAATCCAAATCCGGATCTTTGAGATTCACAATCTTAGCGTTTTTTTGGGAAAGGATTTGAAAAAAAGTATTTTTGACAAGCGGTTTTTCGAAAAAAGAAATGGTACACAACAGATGCCGTACATGTACGACATTCTAACTGAACCTATGTTGGTGGCGCCTTATTAATTTTGAGCCATTAGTTACATATCATTCCATGTTTATCATCTATTCAAATTATTCGTAGACTGTTTTTAAACCGTTACTTGTCATGTTTTTTTGTACGTACTGTAGTGTCTGCTTCCGCCGGTTTAATTTCCAAGTAATCAAAAAAACAATTCATCGACCTCAGTTTTAAATAATTCTTATAATTTCACTATCCTAACTGTGTCGTTTGGAGTTTTTCTCGGAAATCACGTGATTTTATGAACTCATTTTTTCCCCCAAATTTGTATACGACTTTAATATTGGTCTTTTTTGCGTGACATAAATTTTAAGAAAATCACAAAATTTTGCGTGGCCTCGCTTATTTTAACTTCATGTAGTTATAATAATGATAATAGTGACTGTTCCAGAATAATCCAGAATGTAATTCCCTTTCCAGAATAAGTTCAGTCTCGTTAGAACGTACCCTCACTCAAACCAGTCAAGAACGGAGGCAGGCACAATACCTTTTCGTCGTTCACTCTTTAACTCATGATTTTGTCGTTGCTCGAACTCCTCCACTTCCTTAAGCAAATTATTTTCATGCGTCCGGTTTAAGATCTCCTTCAGAGTGTCGAGGCAATCAATTCCAAGCCAGTCGTTGCTTTCGAGCTCCTTAAACAATGATCGGACATCAAGAATGCTGCTTTGCCTCGATTCCGTTATCTTTAGTCTGCAAATCGAAAGTAGTCTTTCCAAATCATTTAGCCCGTCGAGAGCTTGAATAACCTGCTCAATTAAGTTATCTATTCCTTTCTTTTAGCTTCAAATCTCAGCCTCTTCAAGAAGTTCCCATTCCTCGACGCCTTTTAACATGGCCTTCAATACATTTAGACGATCGAGACTTAGAAATCCTTTCTCTTCTAATTCTTTAAACAAAGAAAAGGTAGGGATGTTTTCTTCGTTATGAGCCGGCAACTTTCCTCTGCATATAACAAGCAGTTGTTCACCAACTTGAATTTTGTCGAGTCTTTTGCTTATTTTGTACAGTAAATTGTTTTATTATATAGACACCAGTGTTTTACTGGAAAATATACCACTCCTAAAATTCATAAAAACTACATCCGGGACCCGAGTGGTTTATTTTCCATAATCTCACACATGAGTTTATCTTGAGGATATGAATTTTATTTTCTTGTGGCAAAAACAATATTTTACGAACGAGCGCAGCGAGTGAGTAAAATATTGTTTTGCCACTCGAAAATAAAATTCATGTCTTAGCGCCACCGTGTAATATCCTCTATATATTCATACTCAGACATTTTAAACTGTACGCTTCTTCACCGGGTGCGAGGATATATTGAATTAAGAAGCCGTCACGGAAGAACGGGTTCCATATTTGAAAAATTGCGGAAGCGATAGTTTCATTTTCGCTTCTGAATTCCAGCTTAATTAGCTTCAACTTGCTTGATTTGCTTTTTCAAGGCCAATAGCCTGAGACAAACGTTCATCTTTATTGAATATACGGGTCACTTAAGCAAACGTTGTTATGCTGCATATAATGGGCTAATTAAAAGTAACTGGATTTTCAATATATCCCAAGATCCAGTCCAATGTCCAATTCAGCGTGGGGACGACACCGTAATACCGTGATAATCTCCTACTGCCGCCACATTAGAAAACGAGAAGACCCTGGGGACGAGATTGCCTGCGAAATTGCTCAAATTACTGTGTGTACTAGTTGAGTTATATCAAACTTAACAAAAAGAACATGAAAATTTTGCAGGGAAGTAGTATGTCAATATGCCAAGTTTATCATTACAGGCTCCTGATCATTAGAAATCTCTTACCATGAGGATACCGTATTTTCAACGACTAAAAATAAGCTACTTGCTGAGAGATAGGTAGGAGAAGTCGTTACGTCACGCTGCCATGGCAGTAGACTGCAAAATAGCCCGTATTTCGGCCTAGAAGTTAGGACGCCCTACGGGCCTGTGAGGCCCACGCGCTTCGCGCGAAAATATCACGACGGTGCCTCCCGCCTTGCAAACCCGATATTGCGAAAAAAAAAAAAAAAAAAAAAAAAAAAATGCTTTGCAATCTAGAATGGGATCAAAAATATAAAAAAAAAAAAAAACACAACACTCAAATTATTACAAAAATATAAAAAAAAAAAAAAAAGAGACAATAAAAAAATACATAAACAACACAGTATATTGACGCCACGCTGCCAGGGCAGTGGCCTCCAAAAAACCCCGTTTTTGGCGCTCGAGGTTAGGGCCCCCCCCGGGCCTGGGAGCCCCCCGCGCTCCGCGCAAAAAAATCACACGGGTGCCCCCCCCCTCGCAAACCCCAAATTGAAAAAAAAAAAAAAAAAAAAAAAAAAAACGACTGCTTTGCAATCTAGTATGGTATCAAAATTTTTGGATCTCATAAAATCGTGATCCTGCAATTCTGACAGAATTTTTAAAAAAAGAAAAAAATTGACATGTATGACTTTCATGTACGCGCGTGTATGATTGCACTCAGGAACAAAACGGTAGCCCATACTAGTCTTTCATCGTTAGACAATGCAAATGGCTGATGACTAGAAAGATTGTTGAGATCAAGAAATTTTCCTTTCATGGTAACGTAACGTCACACTTTTGCTCTCTATTATATATATAGTCTTGTTCATCCCCTTCGTGAAAGAGCCCGTTCTGGTCTTCAACGCCCATACTAATCATGAGAGACGACTGGGGACGAGTCAGGTGTTGTGTAGACAATATGAATTTTTTCTGTGAATTACGTTACTCCTTTCTCTCTCACGAAATCTCTATGAAGACAGAAATGGAGAGTTTTTTCAACTTCGTGCAAAAAAAATTAAAAATACAGATAGAACAAACCCATGATCGGCTCGAGATAAAGATCGGCTTGAGCAATGAGACGATTATTGATCATAGGAATATAGGCGGGTTGTTTTCTAATTGCTTTTTAAGCAACAGGTGAAGACGGGCACAGGCTTACCAGTAATCAGCCTTTTATGGAACTGGGAACCTTAAAATCAAATGGAAGAGTAATCTATTGAGTCCGTCGCCTTTTACAATTACTGTGCATGGTATTACAAGTTTATCCCAGTTCGTGACAAATACTAATTAACCTAGCCAACACCCTGTAGACTAACAGGAAAGGTCTCAGTTCCGTATAAGTGAATTGTACGAGATTAAATGAAACGAAATAATGGGGAGGGATTTGTGTGCTTTTAAGGTCAAGGAATATGCCAGTTTCCGGGGTCAGATGGACACGTGGGCGGTGCTCTTTCTAGTAAATACGGTGCCTGCGTTTACGTTGGAACTGTGTTTGTTGTATATTATATAGTTTCTTTGACATCTTACAAGGAATGAGTACAAATAAACCTTTCAGCTACATCCGCATACGGCGGAATTTCAAGTCTTGATCGGTTTGATTGGCCTATAGTGATAGGGTTTTAAACGCATGGAGAACGCAGGACACTATAGACGGACTCAGGGATGTTGATGAAAGCGTTGCGATTGTCGAACTAGTAGACATGTCCCCTCTTTCGGTATAAATGCTTCCAGTAGAGCTGCCGCAACGAGATAAGGAATTATAGCCTTTCTCAACTCATCGTGATACCGCAAGTGCGGTGTCTACCCGGTTCTATTTAAGTAGCCAAATCCTATTTTTAGAACAAGTTGCGCCACCCTCAACGTCATAAACTCGACCCCGTACCGGCCGCACATTTGCGCGGCTCCCTCAAAATTCTAGGAGATGGGCAATCGTCTTGGGTCTTTACTTAAGTACTGTCTAAACCCGTTTTTGTGAAAATGAGTTTTATGAGAATAAAAAAATAAAAATAAAAAGTCAGTTTTGTCAAGTTAGCTTCGCACGATTTGAAGGCGTGGGGAAACTCGGAAATGGCGTATCACGGGTATTCCCCCGTCCCCCCACATCCTGTTTTGTCCGCGCTCAGTTGGTCCAGGTACCCGTTTTCGAGGGCTAGGTACTAGGTACACCTGTACATCTTTTTCTTGCTCTCGCCAGTGATATCAAATAAACTACAAAGACAGGAGCTTAAAGTGAAAACTGTAAAACGTTCTTAAGTTTTATTTACCATTCAGCACCATTTTCTAATACAGGAAATACTAACACAACTATGTACAACTAACTTTGAGCGAATGGTATTTACTAGCTTATTGCATTACTTGTACACAAGTACTAAACAATACCATAAAAAAGCTTATGCATACTAGGCAATATTATTTTAGAAGATAAATGATATTAAAGTGACTATCACTTCCGATCTTCAGGTGTTCAAAACGTACTGATTATATGATGATAATATTTTTCTTCGGAAAACTGTAGTGAGTCACCTTAACTAAAAAGAAAGCTCTTTTATTAGGCACACTGTCTAGTATGTATTTGGCATGCTCAAAAAACACATGCAAAAGCAAAATGCATGTTATTGTCACTGGCAGATCCAGGGGAGCCGCCCCCCTTTATTTTTAGACCAAACTGAGGCCCGAAGGGCCGAAAAAAATTTTTTGGACATCGGGCCCCCCCTTATCTCATAGTCTGGATACCCCCCCCCCCCCTTATTTGAAGGTCTGGATCCGCCACTGGTTATTCGACACCTTTAAATGCAGACTTTCATCACGCAGAACCACGTGCACAATAATCCATCCGAGATATGAAGAAGTTTCCAATGAAGAAGTTTCCCTGTGAGAGGAGTGGGTGACAAGTCTGAGTTTTGTCAAGAGAAAATAGCTCATTATGTCTTGGTTTCGTTTATGGATCCACCTTCTGAAGTTTTGGAAGACAGGTCAAGATGTCAACTATTTGACATTCATAGTAAACAAAAGTGGACCTATCCCCTTGATAGAAAAGTTCATATTGAACAGGCAAAGTCCTCTTAATTTCCCTGAACACTGAAATAAGATCTAATGTCTGCCAACGCTTGTTTAACACCTCTAACATTGTAGCAAAAGCCCTTCTCCCATTTATCAGCAAATGAAGAGTATCCTGGAACATTTGTACGTGGTCCTCGTCTGGCAGGTACCAGTAATCGGATATTACTAGCTTCGTGTTTGGAATGAGACTCAATTTTTCAGCCAAAAATCTTTGTGTTTCCTTTATACATTCAGAAAAATAGTTGTAGCGGTTTGAACTCTGAATCACGACAAGAAGCGTCGATTCGCTATCTGGAAAGAAAGAAAGAAAACGGATCATAAGACCTTTCATCTGCCAGTTTTTAATCGTACTGAGCCCATTTCACTTAATTGGAGTACAGTTATTTTGCAGTGCTTCTGAGAATTAAACCTTTCAAATTATTTTGGTTTCAGCTTAGAAATCTTACCTTGGAGATCAGAACTTCTACTGCAGGCGGCACTCCGAATTCACTAAATGGTCTTGGCCAGATAAGTTCGGCAGACCTTGTTTCATGGCTGCCCCTGTTAATTTCAGTATTAATGCAAATCTCAATATGGCCGGCTTGGTTATGGGGTCCCCTTGGTCTTATGGGTAGTCTTCCTTATTTGAGATATACGACGTTTTCTTTTTTAAGAAATGCCTTAAAAGACTCTTTCTGTTATTATCTAGGCCAGATCAAATGAATTCTTAAATAAATGAATTCTTAGTGCAACCTAAACTGAATTCTGATTGTTCAGCAGCTACTATGAATCCTGGTCCAATCTGCCATTTTTTTCTCAGGCGTCTTCTCGTCACACATCATTTTGTTTCCATTTATTTCTCTAAGAATGCATTCTCGTGATTGTGTAAAGAACTTCCACGAGAGTTCCCATTTGCCCGGCAGTTCCGTGGTCAGTGGTTAGTGCATCCGGTTCATAGTGTACGATGTGATAGACTACGACCAGATATTTACTCGTGGTAATCTCAACAAAATTGAAAATGAACATCATTTTATTTAATATGTTTAACTGTCCGAGTTACTACTTTCAAATAACAGATACGTTCTTAGCTAAACCAGAACCCCTAATCTTCAATTGTTACTATCATTTGAGCCTATATATATTTAGTATATACACACTCAGTGATCTTGGTAATTCAAGCAATCTGATTGGTTAGCTATCTCAGACTATGACGTTATATTCACCGCGCTAGGCGGTGAATATAAAGCAGAACAAAATCGCTGTCGTGAACTGGGTGTTTTGCCACGGTAAGTGCTTGTTGCCTCAGTTTCATAGTAAAACCTTTTTGGAAATACACGAATATCCAAGTGCTGATGACTTTGAAGGCAAGAAAAGACTTCATGGTGTTTAAACAGAGTGATTTATTGTGAAGTGGTTTACCGTAGCGTAGCTGACGTTTTGTACGCTTGAGGCTATGTTTACCACTACAGACGAAAACGAGGTCGCTTTGTCACTGTTTTGTGATTACGGGATTTTCTCGCAAGACCAATTTTGGTCAATATTTATATCATTTATGGGGGAAAGAGCAAGGCAAATATCTTCGAAAATTGTCAGTGCCAGCAAGTTAACAAGGCAAAGAACATTGGAGATAAACAACGCTCACCTTAATCGTAGCCGCTGTTGACAGCACTTGCAAGAAGCGACAAAGAAAACTTTCTCATTCACGGTGAGTTGACAGAAACAAATAAAGCTCTACTTTTCCTCTCAGAATTGGGTAGTAATTTAAATTTTCGGCGTTTTCTTTTAAACCGTTGATGCTAAAGCTTACAAAACTCGATACAAAAAGATTAAAACTATCATTTGCCATGTTTGAAAATACTGTAAAGATCTAACTCCTGCGCATCCACTGTTTACGGCTTCGTGTTCACGCATGAATCCACCCGTCAATCAAACTAATCGTTTTTTAATGGTTTCCTTTCTGATTCTGTTGAGATCACTTCGTGTGAATATACTAAAACAATTATTCACCTCAGGCTCAGTTAATATTGTTGAATAATCCCCTCGACTTCGTCTCGGGGATTATTCAACAATATCAACTTCGCCTTCGGCGAATAATTGTTAAATATACACGCACTGTACTGAAATATAACATTTATTGCATGGATGACGCTGGGTGGTCTCCTACTCGTGACCCGGAGCGAGAGAGGGAGAGAGGACCCTGGAAACGAGGTTGCCATAATTCTTGATATCATACTAAACCGGCCGAATTCAAGAATTGCTTTATTGTTTATTCGAAATATTTCCGAGCTCAAAACCATGCTTATCTCTATACTTAAAATATCTGTCTCCTTGGTAATGAATTATAGTATTCAACCCGCCAAAATAGCCCGTCATCCATCAAAAAGATTTGTTTTGAAACTTAGACACCACCCCCCCCTTCCCGCCCCCTCTTTAAAAGGTCCTGTTTAGCAATTTGAAACTGGTTCTTATTCACTATTCTTATTCTTTATACAACCTTGAGAACTCATGTGAACAGTACTTCAATTTTTCTGATTGTGGCAATTTTTAGTAAGGAGTAGGCTGAATAAAGCTAGATCCTCTAAACTATATTATGTTTTTTTCTACAGAAAATAGGAATTTATTTAAGATCCCAAATAGCGTAGATTTGTGCTAATTATCATTTATGTAAGAATCTGGCCACAGTTGTTCGAAAGGTAGATGACTCTATCCACCGGATAAAACACTATCGACTGGATAGCCCAACTGGTTTGCCTAATACCTGTCCGCCTGATAGTGATTTATCCGGTGGATAGCAGTAGGGTGTGGACCCGTTGCACGTGTTTAAGGGCGTGGTCCCTTTTCGACCGATCAGAGATTGGACCCGAGTAAGGAGTGGTCGCGTGGAGTCTGGACCCGAGTTAGCTTGATCGCGTGGTAATCTGGCCCCGAGTCGCGCGTCGAGGAAGGTCACGTAATTAGGTTAGGGTTCGAGTCGGATTTAGGGTTCGGGATAAAGTCGGAGGTTAGGGTTCGGGCGGCAAGAAAATGCGTAAATAAAAATGACGATGAAGATGACGACAATGACGATGATGATGAGAACGAAAGCCAAGTAAAGAACAAATTGACGAAGATGAAGAAAATACGGATAGTGACACAGAAAGTGAGGAAGTTGATCCCTGAGATAAACCACGAAAAGAAGTTGTCAATGACCTGAATTTAGCTTGGGAGGAACAGGTGACATTAGAAACTCTACGCCAGGGTTTGCTTAAGATCCTCAGGCTCGAGCTTCTTACCTTCTGCGACACTTGCATTTGCATTACCTAAGGTGGTATCATAACTTGAAAACTGACCCGGAGCACAAAAAGGTTATTAAAACGTTACGTAGCTTTATGGACGATGATGAAGTGGAATATAAGGAGCCTGTGGAAGCTGCCGTCAGTAAGCAAAAAAAAAACCTTTTGAGTAGTCTGTTTGACCTGGAAGATATTCCTAAAGACACATCGACTAAGAAAAAATTGTCGGAATAATTCTCACTCAATGTCATGAAAGATATTAATCATCGTGGATAATGTGTATAAAGGGTTTAGTTTTATCGTTTGTCTCACGATTGTCACAATGATATTGATCGCGACGTTTCGACCGCACACTGCAGGTCTTCATCAGACGATATTGTCGATTTACTGAGTCGGACTGTTTGTACCACCGTGGTTGTTAGTGATTGTATCACAAACCTCGCTCATGGTTGGTGGGTTTCGATCCAAAGCATTGTTGGTGTTGTGAGAGGAAAAAACGGATCCCTCAGCGGTCCGCTGTAGTAGAGATCGGTTGTCATGTTGTCTGATTGGGCATGTGATAAAATATGGACTGGACTGGATTGGTAAAACATGGACTGGATTAATAAAAGATGGAGTGATAAAACATGGATTAAAAATAGATGCAGTGATAAAACATGGATTAATAAAAGATGAAGTGATAAAACATGGATTAATAAAACATGGATTAATAAAAGATGGAGTGATAAAACATGGATTAATAAAACATGGATTAATAAAACATGGA